TCTAGGGACAGGAAAAGTAGAACGAAGAAGTCGTCTGTCACTGAGAGCAAATCTTCTCACCAGATTTTTCCAGTCTTCACATGTAAGTGTTCCTGCTGCCAGGACTAAAGTGTGGTGGAGGGAACGGGGAATAATAAGTGACGGGAAAAGCCAATAGAACAGGATATAAACACATCAGTGGAAGAGAATAAAAAGCATTGCCAAGGGTCGAGGTTCAAACCTATCACCCTGTGCTTAGCAGAAATGTGAGGCTGGCTGTTTCCATAAAGATTTACAGTCTCAAAAGCCCTAAGGAGCAGTTCTGCACTACCATCATGAACCAGAGTTGATTGTAAAGCAGTGGATTTGGTTTTTTGGTTTATATACAGAAATGTAGCCTCTAATGGAGATGGTACCTCAAGTCACTAGAGCAGAGAGCGACTGAAAAAATTAAGTATTGGAATAACCAAGCCATTTTGAAGAAGATAAAAGTAGGTTCATTCCTCACACCAACAGCAAGAAACATTGCCAAATGGATCAGGGCTCTAAATGTAGAAAAATGAAACTATCCTAGCAAAGAACGTGGATACATTCCTCTACAATGTGGGTATAAGGAAATGATTTTAAACTATGATTCAAAGTAGCCATACAGATGCAATAGGGGATGACATATACACCCTTTTCAATAAATGGTGCTGGAAAAAACTAGATCTTCACCTGGCAAAGAATGAAATAGGACCTGTACCTCACACCTTGTACCAAAGTAAACTCAAGATGGATCAATGACCTAAATATAAATTCTGCAACTATAATAACCATCATCATCATCAACAACAACAAAATAGAGGCAACTTAAGGGTCCTAATCCAAGGCATAAATACACTACCAAACATAATGAAACAAATCCACACTATAGAAGACAAAAGGCTGGGACCTTCTAAAACATTTGTGCCATCAAGAGACCATCAAAAGAGTTCAAAGAGAACCTACAGATTGGGAAAAAATAGTTTAGTGATGACACATCAGATAAAGTGCTAATTACCCCAAATCTTTAGAAAAATACAACATCTTAATAGAAAAATACAGATAACCCAACAAATAATGGGCAGAAGACATGAAATAAACAATTTACCAAAGAAGACGTCCATCCAGGCGACCAACGACTATGGGGGAAAAAATCTGAATTCATTAGCAATAAGAGAAATGCAAGTGAAAGCAATAATGAGACACCACCTCACATGGATACTTTTAGCAAATTAAAAAACGATATGGAGAGAAGGGAACACAACACTTTGCCGATGGGACTGTAGAGTTGTACAATCACTATGGAAATCCGTGTGGCGCTTCCTTACACGAATGCAAGTACAACAACTTTATGATCCTGCAATCCACCAACTGAATATGTACCCTAAAGAAATACAGGATACAACATGGCCTGGCAGATACACACTTATGTTTATTGCAGCAAATTCCATAAGATCAAAAACACAGAAACACCCCCAAACTCCAACTGTAGAGGAATGGATAAACAAACTGGTACATTCATACAATGGACTATTATGCATCAATTAAAAACCCAATGGACAGCACTCATAAATATCGCAGACATGGGCAAAACTAGAGAACGTTATGCTTAGCAAAGTGAGTCAATCTTATCCAGATAAATATTTAATGGCACCATTATGACGAAAAACGCAAGAGAAGTGGTTTGACATCAAAAGATAAGACTTGGAAGACTCTGAGGCGGCAGGGATGGGGTTGGGGGCAGGGAGAGGGGTGGGACAGGAAATTCTAGAGGGGCGGAGGAAGGATGGCAGTGAAAACATGACAGAACCACATCGATGGGGGTTGAACAGGAGAGTACCAGTGATCTCCTTTGTCGAGCTGAGCTGTGCCGCTCGCTGTAGAGAATGTGCTGCTTGAAGACAGGACCGCAAACGCCAGTGAAGCCCCAGAGCCCAACCCCCCTCCAGCCTCCTTCCCCCTCGGGTCTGGACAGTTGTATGAGTGGCTAACAAGGGAGGAAAAGTAAAATCGATAGTAGATGGGAGACATAAACGTTCCTGCCTAAGATGAATTGTTCCCCAATTCGAAGACGTAGCTCAAAATCCTTTCCCAGATCTATGGTGCGCTTCAGAGGCAGCATGTTAGCTTCTTGAGAAATAATAGAAGTAGCCTCCGTGGGACATTTGCTAATTCTAATAATATTAGTAACCTAGCCAACAGAATAGAATTTAAAATACTAGTGAGGAAAGGAGATTACACGTATATAGAAAAACTTTTTAGAATAAAACCCTCGAAAACAAGTGACAGAACACTGTTTAAGAAACAATGCGGGTTAGGTACGGACAACAATTTCAGTAACACTCCTTCACTAAGGCAAAACTATTTGTCTTACACCAATGGGCTGTGGTCAGCCTAGTAAAAGTTTGTATTACTATAGGAGCCGATGAATTCCTTGAGCCATGCCCAACTGGATGAAAGTAGCTCTCCTTGGACAGAGGCAGGGAGATCGCAAAGTAATAGGCTAAGTCGAGACCACGGGAATGAAGACCATAGGTGTTTTTTCTCCAGCACGACCACACTACCATCATCAGCGATAGCAGCATATTTTTATTGGGTATTTGATACTGGGCACGGTGATAGCTTAGTCGGAGGATTGTATTACTAAGAACAAGACCTTTTATAAAACTTGAAGGATCCAACGTTCCTGTGAGGGTAGAGTTTGGGGTGAATATTGGATTCCTGCAAAGAAGAGGAGGAAGGACAGTGAAAGAATTCAAGTTCTATGAAATTCCAGAGAGGAGGGACTGGGTGTTTGCTTTCTGTTTGTTTCACTGTGGAGACTAAAGGCTGACTTCATGAAGGACATATTTGAGCAAACGCGAGGCTGCTGGGAAAGCATGGGAAGGGGTGTATTTGATAAAGTGGGTGGGTCCCATGGTCAATGCTCAGTTATTGGAGGAGCCTGGGCTACAGGCCAGGTAAGACTTCCAACTTACCCCGTTTCTCTGAAAGTAAGACATCCCCCCCAAATCACACCTACTCACAGTTTTGCCTCTCGCTAAAATATAAGGCATCCCCCCCCCAAATAAGGCCCTCTGAAGCTACCGTAACTCTGGACTCTGGACCATAGCGGTGGGCGCTGCCGCGCAGCTCACTGTTGGCCACAGCACTGCCGGAGCAGACAGGAAGTATCAGGTCTCTTTTAATAAAACAATAAACAATAAATGTGTACTGTATACTTCTTCATGGAAAAATAAGACATCCCCTGAAAATAAGACCTAGTGCATCTTTGGGAGCAAAAATAAATATAAGACACTGTCTTATTTTCGGGGAAGCAGGGTACTACTCTTTCTCCTGCCACATCCCTTTCAAATGTCTCTGGCAGCTTAGGACATTATCCTAATTAGTCAGGGAACCAAACACAATGTCTCCAGTGAGTTTTATGAGGCATTTTATGATGTCTCCTCCAACTCATGGAGAAGAAGACTCAGACAGGTTGTAGTGGTCAATTTCCTTCATTATTTTTTAATTCCCAGAGAACCCAATGTAGATTCAGCCTTCTGCTGCGATCATATGCCTGGAAGACCCTTCTTGCCACGGTGGGGAAAGAACTCTTAAACGTAGGAAAGTGAGAGGCTGCCTTAGGTGCTCGTTTGAGTCAATGATGAGACATTCACTGTGGTTATTTTTTGTGGTGATGCAAAAAGAACCCCGGGGACCCTGTGGATTAGGTGTTGGGCGACTAACTACAAGGTTGACAGTTCAAACTCACGAGCTGCTCCTCAGGAGAAAGATTAGGCTGCCTGTGCCCATCAAGCTTCATAGACTTGAAAACGCCATGTAGGGTAGCTGTAAGTCAGAATCAGTTCAGTTGGCAGTGGGCTTTGTTTTTGGATAGTGATACACGTACCTATAGCTATAGGAAATTATCCAGCAGGATCCAAGACCAAAGGGTGAGGCAGTTTCAAAGAGGACTATCAAGCCTATTCCCAGAGATAGGTTCACCTCAGAAGATGGTGAAATAGAGCGTAGTGGAGATCCTATCTGGGTAGGAGTAATGTTCACCAGCTTGGGGATTCGATGCGTAATGGTCAAGAATTTGGGGAACTTTGAAGGTCTGTGGGGGCACTCAGAGGGCATCTTTTTGGCACAGGCTATACGCACAGATCACAGACTCTTCTAAATGCACTTAAAAAAAACTTTAAAAAAATGCATATTCTTTTCTACCATCTCCAAAAGAGCTCGAGATACAACTCATTTCCATGTGTTTATGTGGCTTGCCGTCTTCAGAATGCCACTGAAGCGTTACAAAGCAGCGATGTCCCTTTGAAGACTGAGGTATGCCTGACCCGAGCTATTGTCTTTGCCGTCGTTTCATGTGTATGTGAAAGGTTGATAACATGAAGAAATCCTAGGAAGAGTTAATTGGTAACTTTGAATTCCAGTGTTGGCAAACAATATTAAACATACCATGAATTTCCAGAAGAACAAGCAAATTGTTGCAAGAAATACAACCAGAATACCCCTTCTAGTCAAGGATGGCAACATTTCATCTCATATACTTGGGTCATGTGATCAGGAGATGCCAGACCCTGGAGAAGAACACCCTACGTGACAAAGTAGAGGGTCAGTAACTAAGAGGAGGGCCTTCACAAGACGGAGTGACACGGGGTGCCCAAACTTAGCAACTATTGAGAGGATGGCATAGGGCTGGTCAGTGCCTTGTTCTGTTGTACATTGGGTTGCTATGAACCAGAACCTACCCGATGGTACCTTACAACAACAACAATAACATGTCTTTAAGGGAGAGTGCATTATTCTCCATAGGATGCTATGCAAGAACCAGGAAGTTTCAGACTGGCTAATTCCCTTTCCTTTAGAAATGAGCAATTCCCTGGCCACGTTGACCATTTAGAATAGTGTGGAGTGTGGTCCCGGGTCCCTTGGATGTGGAGTGTGTCCCAAGGGGCTCCTTCCTCTCCAAGCACATTAACCCGAGGGGAAACTCGGCAGAGTCACAGCCTGTGAGATAAAGCCTGCAGGCTGAACAATTTCCTTAGAGCACCCTTGATGTCCTTGTTCCTCAGGCAGTAGATGAAGGGATTCAGCATGGGTGTCACCACCATGTACATGACCGACGCCAGGGAATCCTTCTTGGCTGAGTGAGAAGAGGAGGGACTCAGGTAGACCCCTGTGATGGTACCATAGAAGAGAATGACGACAGTGAGGTGGGAGCCACATGTGGAAAAGGCCTTTTGCTTGCCCTTGGCAGAAGGGACTTTGAGCACAGCAGACACAATGTGGACATAGGAGACGAGAATGCCAAGGAAAGGAATGAGGACAATCAAGCCCCCCACCAGCAGAATCATGAGCTGGTTGAGTTGGGTGTTGGTACAGGACAGCTGGAGCAGGGGGACAAGGTCGCAGAAGAAGTAAGGCATGACATTGTTCGCACAGAAGTCTAGTCGGGCCATGAGGAGGGTGTGCAGCAGGGAGTGGAAGTTAGCCACGAGCCAGGAGCTCCCCACTATGAGCGCGCACGTTTGGAGGCTCATCCTGGTGGAATAGTGCAGGGGGTGGCAGATGGCCACGTAACGGTCATAAGCCATTCCTGCCAGGAGGAAGTTGTCCATGTTGGCAAATAAGATGCAGAAGTAGATCTGTGCTAGGCAGCCACCGTAAGAGATGGATTGCATCTGCATCTGGATGTTCAAGAGCATCTTGGGTACTGTGGAAGAGATGAAGCAGAAATCCACCAGCGAGAGGTTGCTGAGGAAGAAGTACACGGGCGTGTGGAGATGGGAGTCTAAGCCAATGGCCAGGATGATGAGCAAGTTCCCCGCTGCTCCAACCAGGTACACGACAAGGAAGACCCAGAAGATCAGGCCCTGCTTCTCTGGCTCGCTGGAGAGGCCTAAGAGGATAAACTCAGACACCCTTGTATGGTTTCCTCTTTCCATGGTTGACTGATCCTGCTGGGAGATCCAGAGTAGTCAGACTAGAGAAAGGGGAGTGGGGTGGGTTTCCAAGCCTCCTCCATTTGCTTTTAAAGCACCTTCACTCACATCTGGTCACAACACGATATTCCTTTTGTGCAACCCCAAGGAAGACTTTCAGCCTATGGAAGGCGAAGCTTCCGCTAGTAAGTACTATGGCCATAGTAAAGCCCAAAGTAAGGGTTTGAGCTATTTTACGACCCATATGACTGAACCTCCAAGACCCATCTGCTGTCTCTCAGAGAAACCTCGTGATAAAATGGCCAGGTGCTCATTGGTGGCAACAAAAAGGGAATTCCTTAACATTTTTAGGCCCCCAAATTTCTATCATACTCTCCTCCCACACCCCCCACCACTGCCAGCTGCAGACCCTTTCTATACAGAATTCTGGGATCACAGTGCCACACCTATTGTAGGACTAGAAGGTACTGCTGGTATTCCACACACCCTTTCTCTTCCAGATAGTTGTCTCCACTTGTTCTCCTACCCACGGAGAGTCCAGGGCTCAAGAGTGCTCCAGCAACACTGTGGCTGACTCGGGGACACCTTGTTCCTGGCAATGAGGCTGTGCGGTGGAGTATTT